ATATATATTCGAAGGTCCGTAACCGCCATTTGGCCACCTCTGAGTCTCGGAACATCAACATACATAATTGTAATCAAAGTTCATAATGCAATATATTTCCCTTTTACCATATTTTTCGGTATTTTTCGGTTACTTTTACATATTGATTATATTTTTTCATTAATTAATTTTGAAATATAACATCAAATTAACAATAAAAAATCAATTGTTAAATAAGAATAGAAGCTAACCGTTACATTTTATATCAATTTAAATGTAATTATACAGTTTTTTTTTTTACTATTTTGTNAATCTCTCTCAAAAAAAAAAAGGAAAAACATTATTTATTGCAATTTATATCATAAATATGGTAATTGATATGTAAGCTATACAATATATTTATATTGTCCATTTTTTTCTAATTGTCAAAAAATTTATAATGTGATATAATCGTTATTTAACTTATAATTTTAAATATTGTATACACACGTATATCATATAATATTTTTATTTGCATTTATGCATTTGCACAAAATTGAATAATAGTTTGGATCTTAAAATTACTGAGCAGGCAATTAATATTTGTTGACTAGTGATTGTCAACGGTTCTTAATTGAGAGATTAAGAGAGATGCAAATTTGATATTATGAAGGACCGACGCGACTAATATTGTTTTTACGATGAAAGACGAGAAAAGTAAAGCACGCATCATTTCGCCGATCTATTAGGAGATCAGGGAGATGAATGATTGCTCCAAAAGCATGACAAGCCATAAGAATTTTGTTACTGGGGTCGCTCTTGTTTGAGCTCTTTCCGAACTATAATGTGGTCGTGCTGTCGTAGGCACCCAAATTAACCTTACTTAAAAATATGTAGTAGCGTGAGCACGGATCGTATCAACATGGAGAAGTAAACGAAACTTATCAACTATGTGATTAAAAAAAGGGAATTTGATTTAATTATCTAACTAAACTAGAAATTACCTATCAAACAATAAATAAAAATAATAATGAAATATTACTCAATAAACAAAAATAAATATAATAAAAATATGCCTTGTTTTAAATAATAATAAAACATAACTAAATAAACAATAATAACAATTTGTAGGTTTTTTTTAACACTTATTTTCATATATTTTGTATTGTATAAATAATTTTTGTTTTAAGACCCTACCGCCATAGAGATGAAAATCTCACAAACAAAACTCCGTCGTTTATTATTCGAGGCATACTCAGCGGATTCTTTTGATTTAGCATATAATTTATTACATTTATATTTATATGTATATCATTTATAAGAAAAATATTAAAAACATTTTATTTTATTTTAAAAGCTTTTAATGCTCAAACACCATCGGTTTCAAATGAACCGAACTCAAGCTAGTCCAACATATTTAGGAAGTGATTGGTAAGCAGTCAAAAACAAGTTAAAATTAATCAAAATTAATCAAGAGTTGAAATGAGTTATTTTGAATAAAGTTTATTGAGTGGGATGAGAGATGTTGTAATTAAATAATATTTTAAATATAATAATTAAAATTGATGTGATGTAAAAGTATGAGAGAGATGATATAAGTGATAGTTAGTTCAAAATATGTGAGTTGAAAAATACTGAATTTAAGTTAATATGATATAAAAGGGAGATGATTGATATTATTTAATATGATAATTATTGTATGTATAGATTTATTGAACATGAACTCTAGAGAACGAGAGATCGAGAGAAAAAGAAAAGAACAAATACTATTATTGTAAATCATAGAAGGCAAAAGTAATTTGTCCCAAACCCTAAAATCCTATTCATACATGAGGTATTAATGTTATAGTAAGTTTACTTGTTGTATATAGAAGATTGACTCCACAATGGAGTCAACTGTTGGCTTCATAGCAAAACTGGAAGTCGATATTGCGTAAAACACACTTTTAATCCTAACTTTACATTTGAGGGTAAAAGAGTAATTGTACATCACTTGCAAAAATGATTTGTATGATATGTTGAGAATAGAGTGTGTGAATTAGATTTTGAGTTAAAGTGATTAAGAAAGATGAATCCAATCAAAATTGATTGTGGCCAGTTTTGACTTCTTACCAATCACCCATTTTAAGCTTGGTTAATAATTATTTGAATACAAACAAACTTAAATTTTAACGAACAAACCTGCTATTAAATATAATTTATTACTTGAACAATAAACGAACAAATAAGAAACGATATTCAAACATAATATTCAACCTTGTTGGTTTTATTAGACGCTACATACAATTTTCATCGAAACTGCACGAATAAATATAGGGGTCGACAACAGTCCCGTGGGAGAATGATTCCTTCATTCAAAGACGGAGCCATACCCCCTCAT